GATAGCATAATGGCCCCAATATTAGATAATTGTTTTTATAAATAGTATCTTTTCGAAGATACACCCCGTTAAAATACTGTAGTTTTTCTCGCGTTTGCCTCAGAGCTTTTCACGTAGTTAACGGATTCAGGTTAAATTTGGTACACAAATACTCCTAATTACGTTCCACATTCTACTAAAGTTTTAAGCGCACAGTTAACAAAACTGCGAAGAAAGAAGTGCGTTTTCTGTACAACCACCCTCTTCCTTTGTTTGAAAACATCAACAAAAAATATATTCCATTAAAACACCTTCATAGGTCAATTCCCTGATTTAATTTGCAATTCTTTGCCTCCTGGCTCGTCTTTAGATGTCTGATTTATTTAATAAAATTCAAGAAAATGTAGAGCCCCATTCACCATAGTCACAGAAAGCCATAGAAACCCAAAAAGATTTTGTGAATACTAACGATTGAACCAATTGTTTGTCATTCATTAAAATAATGTATGTTCCGAATGCGATTTTAGTCGGATGAGTGATTCAACATTAATACGAACAAAGCCGAAGAAATCTCATTTCAACGCCTTCCATACTCGAAACTATGCGATTTAAAGAACAATTTATACCAGTTAAGGACATTATTTCAACTTGTTCTATCGGTTCCTGAAGTTACCAAGATAAAAATTGAATCATCCTCAAAAATGATGAAATATACATTTTTCCAATATTTGCTATAGATAGATATATAAAATTTTAATATTTTTAGATACATTTGTTAACATATTGCCTAACTGTTTTAAGCTATTATGTGTTATCAGTTACTAACTCACGATTATTAGAATATCCGTTAGCAATCAAGTATCAAATATACATTACGATGTTGTTGACACCGACACATTTCCTCTACCAATGACCAAAAACATATATTTTTTGTTTTAAAAGCTAATTTAAATAATAACCAAGTATCGAAATATTTATTTGCATTTGTTAAAAAACCACTCCTTTTTATATTCAAATTACTAAAATAATGTGCTATAGGAATACGATCACAAAATATTTTGAAGGATCAAGGAAACACCGCTTATTTTGAACAAGGTTAATACACGGGTATAAAATGTACATTGCTAAAAGAAATTATTATCATTCGATTACTATTCCAATCAATCAAGTGCAATGAACTCCTTTGTAAGTCCGATATGCGCTTTTTATTAATTTATAGTTTATTAAATGAGTGAAGAGCAAAATTATAAAATGTTTGAACTAGACGCTAAGTAATCGATTGCCGAAACCTATGCTTTTGAGAATATTTTTTCTTATCCTTATTCCAGGAATTTTAATTGAAATTCTAGCTACTAATGTTTACTTTCTTCCAGGTGGTCATTTCCATTGTAGCCCTTGCGGCTTTTGCCAACGCTGGTGTCCTGGTTGGACCGTCCGCTAAGATCATTCAAGGACCCAGCAGTAGGACTACCTTGGTAGGACCCGAAGGAAGTGTTATCTCAGCCGTTGCCCCAGGTGGTCAAATAATTCACGAAGAAACCCCTGGAGTGGTTGCTGAAGTTGCCCCAGTTGTATCATACGCAGCTCCAATTGTTGTCAAAACCGCCCCAGTTGTAACTTACGCAGCCCCAGTTGTCGCACCAGTAGCTCCAGTTGTAGCCAAAGCTTCCACAGTCGTTGCCCACTCATCAGCTTACGAAAGTGACAGTGTGGTTGTAGCTGGACCTTCAGGATCTATTGTAATTGGCAAATCAGCACATGTTGCTCCAGTTGTTGCTCATTCAGCGCCAGTTGTTGCTCACGCTGCTCCAGTTTTGACCTATTCAGTACCAATCCTATCTCATGAAATCGATAACAATGGCCACGAGGGTCAATATGTTCACGACCACAGTGAAACTTTGTACGACGACGGATCTTACAAACCCCACCATTAGAGCTGGACCAAAGGACTGCAGTAAACCTAGATTTGAATGTTAAACATGTGTCATAACCGCATAATTTAGTGCTATGTTCCAATGTATATATATTTCTGCTAGTACCAATGGTACTTCAACATTAAATTATTTGACTTCCGACCAATTGTTCTTTAAATTTCATTGCAAATCCTGCGCATAAATATTCTGCCGTCCTGCGGATTCAAAACAAGCCAATGATACAAATTACTTTAAATCATAAACGAGCAATCATAATTTTGGCATGGTGCATTATGTACATACACAAAATAATTAAGTTTTGTTCTGAGGTATTAAAATAACTTTGGATTTTCTCAACAGAGGTGGCGGTTTCATTGAATGATGAATTATGTTTTGAACCCTTACGACGATACTAAAAACGAAATTAACATACTGGTTGGGAAAACATGCATATATCCTGCAATAACAGACCTAAGCTTAATGGAGGTTTCGAATTTTAAAACCGAGAGGGACAGTACGCATTTATGGGCTCTCCCAAATGACCAGAAAACTAAGTCAATTCACTTATAAATAATAGGTATCCTGAGCTGAAAAATAACCAATACCCTTCAATGAAAATAATAATTTATCTAGGGCAGGTTTAATTTGCTAGGTCACAAGCGAATATCTAAGGGCATTTTCTGAGCACAGTGCTCAGTACATTTTCCAGTTATTGTGTGTATAAGTATATGTATATAAGTATGGGCCATAAGCATTTGATATGTTGCTATAACAATTGATATTAACTTTTGTCGTACCATAGCAAGATAACATTAATCACAATTCGGATGTCATCTTTAGAGGGTAGAAATAAAGGGTGAAAAGTTCTATTTGTGCAACTCACGCTACAGTTGAAGAAAATCATTGCTTGTTTGCTAAATCTTCAATTTGAAGATTCCTCCTGCCATTTCTAAATAGCCAACAGTTCTTGTTCAGATGAAAAAATGCAGATTTCTAAGGTGGTGAAAGCTTTTTTGTAAGAACTAATTCTGTAGTTTAATCAAGTGCAAACGGAGGCCAGTGATTTCAAGATAACTGCAGTCTAGTCACTTCGATAGTGTAGTTCCCTATTCATATTGTCAAAAAGTTGATATATATTTTTTTAAATTATAATCAGATTTGGTAATGCAAATAACATTAGCTTTAGTAGCTTCGCCCGGTATTTAGAAAAAAGACGTTAAGCCTCGAAAAAAATGTTAAAAGTGAGTAACGAAGGAAGATACACATTTCACACCCTTCATCTTAATCAACATTGAATGGGATAAATGCACAAAAAGTACTGAATGCTTGCACTACCACAAATAAAACTTTAAGCATTATCTCATGGGAAAGCATCTCCATGTAGTAAGCACTTTAAGATGGAGACGATAGAGCAAAAACTTCGATCTTCCAAGTACATGCTTAAAATCTAGGAAATTTAGGCGTAGTTTATGTTTTGTGAGCCAGAGAAAATATCAAATAATTTTAAGCTTTGTGAAAGTTGTACYTAAAAGTCAAAAATTTGCCAAAAATTTGCCAAAAGCTTCTTTTCATGCTTCTTTACTTATKAAATATGCAAGTCCGGATCAGCCGAATAGTTACTTATTTTTGTCTCRAAACAACGAGCATGAAAATATAAAAAATGAGTTACYTCKCTWAGTAGAGAGTTACTGCAACAAATAAAATAGGCACTTGCTATTTTCAAGAACATACTAAACATTCATAAGAGTACTTTTTCTTTTTTTTTCTAGAACTTACCAYCTTTTAAAACTACATTGTTATGCACSAAAATKGAGTAWTTGATTTAATTACCACTCTGGCACATCACGGTATTCCAGATTCTGCCGCGTCACAAAAAAGCTTCAGTTCATAYTATATAAGGTGCAAAATGAYCAAGTCCTCAAAGACAATAATGAAGAAAGTAAATAGATTGAAGAAAACGAAAAATGGAAATAAGTCTGCTAAAAAATTACGTTGGATAATAATATTAAAAATTAAATAGTTAAACAAATTAAACTACGAAATTAAATAGGAAAAAAATTTGAAGCTTTTTTATAGATAAAGGCTCTGTGAAACATTGATCAACAGTCCTGTACAACAATGTACTCGCGGACATGTATAAAATCTTCGATTTATCTCACTAGGCAATTCAGGCTTTAATAAACGTTTCAGTTTTATTGTTAAAAATATAGTTTTTACCTGATAAAACAAGTTTGAGGTGCGCATTTAACTAAACACCTACTGTCTACATTATCACTAGTTTTCTTTCAGATGAAAACCACACCTTTTCCAATTTTAATTGGGGTCAAATTCTATTGAAATGCTATACCGAAAATTTTGTAGGATCAAGGAAACTTGCCGCTTATTTTTAACAAGGTTAATGCATGAGTATAAATGGTGTGTGAGTGATTGAAACTATTATCAATCGATCAATCCTCAAGTCAAATCAAGAGCAATGAACTCCTTTGTAAGTATGAACAGTATTTTATGTATACATCTCTTAGGGATGAAAAATAAATCTCTGAACCACACATTAAAATCCGATATTCGCTCTGTACATTCGAATATATTAGTAGCTCCATTTATTTTCCCTTATTTTTGCTAATTTTAATTGAAGCTCTATCCAATGATATTTACTTTCTATTAGGTGGTCATTTCCGTCGTAGCCCTTGCGGCTTTTGCCAACGCTGGTATCCTAGTTGGACCATCAGCTAAGATCATTCAAGGACCCAGCAGCAGGACTACTTTGGTAGGACCCGAAGGAAGTGTTATCTCAGCTGTCGCCCCTGGAGGCCAAATCATCCACGAAGAAACCCCCGGAGTTGTTGCTGAAGTTGCCCCAGTTGCGTCTTACGCCGCTCCAATTGTTGTCAAACCCGCTCCAGTTGTAACTTATGCAGCCCCAGTTGTTGCCCCAGTAGCCCCAGTTTTAGCTAAAGCTTCGACCGTCGTTGCCCACTCATCAGCTTACGAAAGTGACAATGTGGTTGTAGCTGGACCTTCAGGATCTATTGTAGTTGGCAAATCAGCACATGTTGCTCCAATCGTTTCTCATGTTGCTCCAGTAGTCGCTCATGCTGCCCCAGTGCTGACTTACTCAGCACCTGTTGTATCTTATGATATCGACAATAATGGTCATGAAGGTCAGTACGTACATGATCACAGTGAATCCTTGCACGATGATGGATCTTACAAACCTCATTATTAAATAACACGCTTTGATGTATATTTGTAAATATCTTGCCATACTTAATGAAATAAATCACAATATTTATTACATTAGTACGCCTGTGTGTCTCATTGAAATCGAGCTTAGACAGTCTATTCATATGAAAAGATTCATATGACATCTAAGTTAGATGAAACGCGCTTGCAGATTGAAATATTATAACTTATAATATACGAACTAAAACGAAAGCAAAACGTGCTTCATGTTTCCATAAATTAATTTATTTAGTAATCTATATAAAAGTAGTTACTAATATGCTTAATTTCGATAGAAGTACGTCATATTTACGTTCTAAACCCATTTTGGAAATAAATAAAAACTTCTACTTGTGCTTAATGGATTTTTGAATCGCACTATGAATTGGAAGACAAATTCGTAACGTTAATAATCATTTAAAATACTAAGTGTTGCGACGAACGTTAATTAGAGGGCATGGAGTTTTCTACAGATTAGTTTAAATAGAGCTTATTTATTCGTAGAAACATATGCGAAGAGCAGAGCTGCTTCTCCTTGTCCACAGATGTCATAGACACACTGAAAAAATTAAAAAATACTTTTATCTACCTACGTCTATTCCCTTCCAAAAACGATTTTCTTTTCACTCTGGAGTCTATCCGATGCTAACAACCGACAGTATATAAATAAAAAGAATCGAAAAGTTTATGAAGTAGATATTTCAGATGGGTCAAGTCTCGTAAATGGCTTATATCGCAGGTTCAGTACGAATTGCCTTACCTTCACTATATATAATAAATGGAAGGCAATCTTGCCTCAACCCACAGAAATATTCCCTATGCTGCGGCATTAACCGTGAGATTACGGAGCAACATTGCCAAAAATGCCAATGCAACTAATATTTTTTTCCTTCGAAGTGGCTAAAAAATGTGTTCGAGTATTAAAAATAAATCGGATGAAATTGTTTACTTCAAGGTCTTCAAATTGAAAACGTTGGTTTTCATTTGAGGACTTTGAGGACGAAGATTATTGAAAGAACCAACCTAAACTAATTTTGTGTTTTTCATTATAAGAAAAGTATATTGTGGATTAAATTTTACCAGAAAATCACAAAAGGTTACCAGTCTTTAGAAAAGGTCCGCTGGCTTTGTTTATAACTGAAACAGGGCACTTGAAATAGTTTATAACAGAAAATCGAAATTATATGCAAATTTTTCGGATATACTTTTTAATACAATGATGTTTATAGATAAGTTCTATATTGTTGAGGCGGATTCATTTTTTACAAACTTCTTTTTG